CATCCGTGGAATAACAGCTCTTCTAGGGAAGGACAACATCCTTCTGTTGCTGCCTGCCGGAGAGGGTAAAAGAGGATGAGATGTACTAGTATAAGTAATTTATGAGTATTAAAGCCTCAGAGCCTTAAAAAAAACCCCTATTAGTTGCTGCCTGGATTGCTTCATGCCTACAGAGCTGATGGCTTCTTCATGAGTGGTTTTGCTGAGCTCTCTCCTCTTTTTTCTCACATGTGCATCAAATCGCTTGTGCATCACACACCTGCAGCTCCATTGACCTGCTTGTGCTAGTAAGCTGGAATGAATACTTCTATGGAGACAGATCACAGAATCGGTTGATAGATTTCTTGGAAACGTGTGTCACTAGGAAAATACAGAAGTCTCTCTGATGTAACTTTTAAAACTATTTGCTGTCATCCCCATCTTCGCAGAATGTGACTTTTGCAGCTGTCCAGAGAAAATGCTTCAATGAAACAAAGGGTTTGGAGTACATGGAACAATTTTGTTGCATCTGAATTTAGCTCCATTTTCATGGAAGTCAAATTAAAGAATGTTTAAATGAGGAAAAGCATACTGTGTCCAGATAAGTTTTTAAACAAATCGTTTTATGTACTCATTGCGTGTCTGTGTCATGTTCCAAAAGTTAGAAAATCATAACAGAGCTGTCTTTTTATTTTGCCCTCCAGTGTTTCTGATAGATCCAGAAATGTAAATAGCCTGTTACATGATTGGGTTTTTTTTCGGATTTTCACAGTGTGTCTTTTTCATTCTTTCCTTAAATATACCTTTCAGGAGCTACGATTGCCTTTCTTAGTGGCCTCAGCAAGCATTTTTAATGTATCAACAATTTTAAGTGTTGATACTTGGTGACCAGGGTCTTCAAGTCAGGTGTGTCTATTGAAATATGTGTGTTCACAATAGCATCGACACAGTATGGGCTGTCACAGAGACTCAACCGTTTATGAATATTTGATTTCTGTGAACGTATGTTCACTAGACACGGCTTTGTGCATATTTGAAATACATTGCTTTTTCAGTGCTCTCAATCACAGGAGCTTTGCCAAGCCACAGAGTGAATAGTGTGAATGTTATTGCTGTAGTGCACTACTTTCGTGGTATTTCAACAGCAGTATTCAACATCCTTGAAAGATTGTTTTTTTCCAAGGTATTACTGTCTTGCAGCTGCAGCAGCTTTGCTAAAAGATGTTGAATTTATTCAAGATGCTGTTTATGCTTCTAAATCACTCGAGGTGAGTTTCCAGGGGAGTGAGAAAACACCTATGATAGAAATATGTTACAATTCAGCACAACACTTCTAGCACAGGAAGTCCTAAAGTGAATTGTGGAAGGAAATGATGCATAATTATCTTTACATTGATGGGCATGTTTTGTTCATTCTTTAAATTTTAATTTGTGCAAAATTTGACAGACTGTGAAATGAAAGAGGCGATATTCCTGCAAGTTTCTTACGTTGGATTAAAACACCTACATTTCACTCATTTTATACGAGAGACATGCTTCAGCCTTGAAAGGGGGTTTGTTTTCTTTTAGATCTAATAGCGAGAAAGAGAGTAATTGGTGTAATGATGGGAATGTGCAATGTAGCACTTGATTGCATGGTAGTTTTCCACACTGAGATCAATGCTTGGGGCACTTCCTTCATGGGGATTTATCTGCCTCAAAGAAACTTCAAGGCTTGCCTTGTCCAGACTGTTCCACTGGTGGTTAACAAAGAGAAATACTTGGAATTTGTGTTTGGCTGCCTGTCAGGTGATGAGATCCACCTCTGTCTGCATGTCCATCCTGATATAAAAAAGGGAGCCTGGACATTCCTGAGTCTCCAAGTGCTGTTCACAAGAGCTTTGTCCTCGGGGAGATACAGTGGAACCACAGAATGCCTCTTGCATAGGAAGGTGCTTTTGGAGCAGTATTTTTCTGAAAAAATATGTTTCTGTTCCTAATTTCACAGATGGTTTTGAGAGGAAGGTGGTTCCAGGAGGAGCTGAGCAACAATATATAAACTGCTTGAAGTTTCTCTGGGGTTTTTTTTAGCATTATTGATGCAGAATTTTTGCTGATCCATTGGCAAGTTTGAATCGGCCAGACATACCTATTTTTTCTTACCTGGATTTTAGCCCCAAAGCCTGGTCACATATCTTGGTATTAGGTATCAGCAAGTAAAAGTGAATAGTACAGGCACACACTGGAAACACCTAAGTCAAATTTGTGTACCATTCTTAATTCTGGAGGGTTTTGTCTCTCTTCATTGAACTGTGCAAGGAAAGAAGTCCTCAGTCGTCTAATACAACTGGGTTTGAATTCCCCCCCCCCTTTTTTATTGTTTTTTTTTCAATTCTCTTGACTCTAGCCTTGCTTTTTGATACCATGGTATTTCAAGGGTGTTTCTGCTCCCTCTACCTCCCTGCCTTCATGGTGTTTGTTCTGTGTACTTGTATCAGGTTTCTTCCCATTCAAGGTCCGGTTTAAATCAAGATGTTACTATGGCCCTGGTGTTTCATGGGTCTTCTTCCAGCCAATAGCATAGAAGATTTGAGGTTTCCAAAAGTGTTTAAGTGTGTAGTAGGTGTAAATATTAGAGATGGCTTATTCTGCAGAGATGCAACCACCCTTAAGTGTGAAACCCTGGGATACGTAACATATCAGAGCCACAAAGATGAAGGTAATATTTAAAAATTATAAGCCTGTTTTTTTAGCTGCTCTGTTGACTGCAACATGTTCTTTAAAAGAATAAA